CAAGAAGAAGACAAACTCCACCTCTTCTTATAGAAGTGGACAATAATGAAGAGTTTGAAGTAGAAGAAGTCTTAGATTCAAGGTGGTGTCAAAATAAATTAGAATGTCTTATCCATTGGCACGGATATGATATTAGTAAACGCACATAGAAGCAAGTAAAGAATCTTGCAAATGCAGCAAAGGTGGTGGAGGCTTTTTATCAACAATATCCATCGAAATCAAGATGAAAACCTTCTTTGTAAAAGAAATAAGATTTAGGCAAGATAACATTCTACTTTCAATCCTTGTTTGTAGCTTCTTTACAGTTGTGACAGTGAGGAGATGGAGAATCAACAACCATTGGATTGGACTCAAGAGCCTTTGTTTGCTGACCTACCAAAACGATTGTCACAATCTTTAAGATAATGTAATCGTGATGAAGATCTTCAAGAATGATATATTCTTCCTCAAATAGATGGTGAGATATAATGTATATGGTATCACAACTTTGGAAGGGACTCTCAATGTTTGGTGATTTTACTAGAGGTAGGAACAATTCTTGACAGTGTTTCAAATATTTTATTTGAAGGAAGTTATGAAGGCTTGAACAATGATGAAATAATTGGGTGGTCTTTCCACACTGATATGGGACACTATCGATGGTTGAGAGGCCTTATCAATCATCTTTGAAGAGAACAAAGATCAGAATATGTAACAAATACAATTCGTTGCATCTTAGACTTCTTTGACATGTGATCACCGCCCATCGTGGAACTTGTCCCTAGAAGGAGGAATAATGTCATAGACATATATTTACTGTAATTATTACCTAGGTGATATAAATATGTAGAAATAGATAAAAATAGATTGATTTCATAATATCTTCTAGAGAAGCTTTTTAGAGCTTCATACATATTGCTTTGACTTTACATGTATTTATACTTGATAGATAGGTTAGAAACTTGATCAATAAGTTAACCACGTGCCACACATGTTGGTAACTTGTGGAATAAGCTAAATATGTGGTGCCGACGTAGAAAACTTGCCTTCCAAATTAAGATACGTGTTGTGCAAAGTCAACACATTTTTGGAGGTCCTATAGAATGTCGCCATATAGCTTCTAGATAGATAGTATATATAGAGGCAAGAATAAAGCCTTCTTCACTCTTATCAACTCTTTTCTTACTTCTAGTCTAGTTTCAAGGGTCTCTAGTTTTCTTGATTTTTGGCAATAGCCACTCTAGTTTCTTTCTTAATATACATATTTAGTTATTTCTATTTTGTCATCTTTTTTTGAAAAAAGTCTCACTTATTTATTTATTTTTTATCAAGTTCTTGTCCTTGACACTTATTGGTTTTCAAATTGAATTGTAATGCAATTATGGCCCTTATAGATGTATTTGTGGATATACTTGATAATACAAACAAATGTACATACTTCAATATTAATATGACAATTGTACTTAAGAAATAATTTTAGAAAAAATAGAACAACATCCATATTATCAACAACTATTCCTTGAACTTCAAATGTTCTTCTATCATTTCTTCATCAATATTGAAGATATCCATCAGCATCCATTGTTGTTTCTTCTACAAATACCTTTGGATATCTCTTTGTATAATGACCATCTTCCATACAAGATGCTTGAGGATTTTACATTCTACATAGACCATGTACCATGCATTGTAGAATAACTTCAAATAGCTCTCAATCATTGTCTTTATATGAAAAGTCTGTAAAAACCATACGATCTTCATCTCCAGTGCATCTAATCTTACTTTCTTTATAAAAAAATCAAGATGTACATATGAAGTAGATTTTTTTTTTTAAACTCAATGGAATAAACATGTACAACAACATGACCAAAGACAACTCCTTTCTTTATATCTTCTATAATTACATGTCTCTTGAGCTTAAATATATGGACAACCAAATTTGGCCGGTGACTTGTTCATTGTCCATGAAGCAATTCATTCTGGATTTTGGACCATCATGGATTTGCTATTACTATCATAAAAATATCAAGATGCTGATAAAATCTTGTAATTGCCATAGAATCTTAAAGTATTTCTATCATATGTCTTGTACTTCTAATATATGATGATGGAAGTAAGATCCTACATCCTAAATTATTTAATTCATATTGTCCTTCTTCATGCCCAATACTTTGATGAGTTATAACAACATCTATCAATCTTTGATATAAATCAACATATAGATTTTCTTGATTGTAACGTAGATATTACAAATATGATTACTTAATTAGTGTTTATTTGTGAACCATAAATTCTTATAATAGCTTTCTTCCATGTAAAATTATGAAATACTTGATAGGCCTTGAAAAAAATTGATAAGCAAAATAATCCATTTGTATAAGGTTGTTGCATCTCCAATCCTTTCATCTAACTCCTTCTCTTTCTTCAACAATATCCATCACTACATTTTGTGCCCTTAGATTAGGATATCATCAAAGAATTCTATATAGAAAAAAAAAAAAAATATAGTAAAGAAACAAATAAGTAGAATGAGCTTCATGAATCCTTTCTAATAGCCCATTACTATATAAACAAAGAATAATATCATGAAGTGTATTATGCTTTGATCCATCTCTAAGTAATATAATAGCAATTTTTTCAAAAGTGATGGAAAGATTATATTGGCGTCTATCATTGTCATTCATGAAGTACAAAGAAACAGTAAGATCTACTTCCACTATTCCTTCATTCCGTGCTTGAGATAGTATTTCATGTACTTATCTGTATAATCCAATAAATGGATTATTTTTCCTCAAAATTTTTCCAATTTTTTACATAATTTGGCTCAATAATCTATAATTATGACTCATTCTTTTATCTTCTGCAAATGATGCATCATAAATATAGAATTGTGCATAACTTGGGTCTTGACTCATTCTTTTATCTTCTAGTAACAACACTCTTGGTAATGGTGTAACTCTCTATTTATTCTAAAACTATATGGAGCATTTTTCTAAAGCACAAATCAATCAATATTTGCACCTAAGGACGTAAATACATGTACAACATTATATTGACAAATATTTTCTCAGAACTCCCTTGTTCTTTCATCTTGGTCCTCAAAAAAGTATTTTAAAAGCAAAAGCAAAGAAAGTAGAGATGGTAGAGAAACTTTTCTTTGACAACAACATTGTTCAAATAATAGCAACTTCCATAGCAACTGGACTAAATGTTCATCAAATCAATGCAATGTGTTACAATGAAGATACAAAACATTCATCCTCCATAGATTATGTATGGCTTTAGCACTTGTAACCATTTCACCTTTTCTTTGTACTCTCTCATGTTCCCTACGTTGTTATTCAGCAATTGCTTTCCAATTCATTGTTAAAACTAGACTGTTCACAATAGCAGGGATTCTACCAGAAAATTGGAGTAAGCTTGTAAGTATCAAAATTGTACCTCTATAAAATTCCAATAAAACCTTGTTACTTAAGTATTTTAGCAAAATTTCATAGTACTTGTAAAATAAAAATGAGTACATACAACTTAATTAGTCAAATTATAATACCACAATACTTTAACAAAAATATTCTACATCTATACATCCCTACAAATTACAATTATACATATTTTTATAACAACTTGCTATAACAAAAAGCACAATTTTTTCAAAATATTATATTTTATAAATCAAAATGAATAAATAAAATAATAAATATTTAATTATTTATTTTAAAATATATTATTATTTATTTATTTTATTTATATACACAAATAGATAAATATATATATATATTTATACATGTGAAGTTGAATATAAATTTTTTTATTTAAGAGCAAAAAATGAAATTCCTACTATTTAATTTTTGTACAAAAATTCTTGTTTAAAAAAACTAAAACTAAAATTAATAACTAATAAAAAATTAAAAAATTTAAAAATAATATAATAAAATAAAAATAATAATATAATAAAATAAAATATTATCTTAAAATTATAAATATTAAAATATTAGAATACTATCTTAAAATTATAAATAATAAATTGTTTTTGAAAATAATAAAATTTAAAAATCTAGTTTTATGCACACTACTTCAGTCCAACCCACATTTCACCAGTCGAACAACAAATCCACACATCAAAAATAAAATAAAATAAAATAACTAAACAAAACAAAACAAAGAACAAACAAACAAACAAACTCAAAAAGCTAAACAGAAACACAAATTTTTCAATATTTCAGCAATACTCACTGCAATATTTCACGGCAATATTTCAACAAATATCATAAAATATCATAAAATTAGAACTCCAGCCTCCTCGAAGAAATATGCGTGCATCTTAAAGTTGAATATAACAATATTTTCAAGCAGCAAGATCGTAAGCCTATGCTACTGCTTCTTCCTCGTCGTAAGCCCCTGATGGGATAACAAAGAAACCTTCCAAAAGCAAGATCCATGATGAATCCATATTGTTAATCCACGATGAAATTCTTCTGAAATTCTGATTGCAAAGCACAATGATAATAATTCGCAATTCAGAAATTCGAAAAAACACCAATGTTTGAAACCAATGTTTGAAACCAATGTTTGAAACACACAAAATCCATTGCTCTTACTCAAAACACAAAACTTAAACACATGCTGAGCCTTCTCCAATGTATTTGCCTTCCCAGTGTCTATATGATTGCATTACAGTATGAAGTGCATAAATCTGAGGAGGAGAAAATCAGTGTGAAACACCATGAAAAACACCTTGTAGAACTCCCCGATCAATTGTATAACTGGTTGTGAACTCCACAAAACATGAACCTTTTTGATGAAAACGAAGGCCCATCTATGCAGTGGAGAGCCACCACTTGTCTCCTTGATGGATCTTAATGTATTAATAGACTAGATGAAAGCATGTAAGCCATGAAGTTAGAAAGATGAATGAAAACATATCATCCATCTTGATAGCGATGAATGTGGTCCCACATGGATGGATGAATGAATAAGGGATCGCATCCAGTTGTGAGCTATCCCTTCTCCGTGTGATCCCCCTCTCGAAAGTTTCGCACAGGAAGCCAGATTGTCGTCCATGCCTCATTCCGAATCAGAGGATTTGCGTGCAGAATTCGACGCACGTATTCTATGACGTATGTTGTTGCTCTAGGAATTTCCTCATCTTATCAAGGAACATGAATTTGTTTTAGGGAGTTCTCCTTCTGGACCTGGGCGTGGTTTGAATTTCTCGGTCAAGTTTGCGGTGCACGGATTGCGAGGAGCATCAGCAATGGCGTCACAATGTCACCGTCTCCTCCTGCAATCTTCGTCGCTGAGATTTTCTAGCCCCTTTTCTTGTTCGCCCTCGTCTTCTCATTGTCGTCAACTTAAGGTTGATCAGGTACAATGCCAACTTACTACCACCTTGAATTTCCCCCTCTCTCCCTACCTTTCCTTAAGCCCTAAATGTAGTTTTCCTTTTCTCTCTCAATTTATGATTATTATTTTTGTTTTTGTTGTTGTTGTTATCTCGTGCACTCTGTGCAATCCTCATGTTTTGCGAAAAATCAATCACGAGGTGAGAAAGTCTCTAGAGCTTCCGTGGCTCAATGCCGCTTGTATTAAATCGGGATTTGGAGTGATCATTGTTTCAATTTCGGGTGATTTAGGCAGAATTTGGACTGACGGCCGGTATCCAGTTCTACTTCGCAGAAGTTTGGCGACGACTCTATTTTATAGTGAGAGTGTGTTAGATGTTGCAGGTTTGCTTGGATTACAGAGAGTTAAATCTGAATGTTGGTGTGTAAAGAGTGAAGTGTCTTCTTGACTCCGTTTGGAAAATCTTCGTAACTCGCAGTGCACTTTTAATTCAAATTTTGTGACTGTGCACGTCCTGTCGTGCTCTTCCCCATTCTGACGGAATTTTTTTAAATTACTTTGAGCATGTGTAGTTGCTCTGTCTCCAGTTGATATAAATGAGTAATTCAGTCCCCTCTTCGAATTTGTAGAGGATTGATCACTCGTTTCATAATGTAGCGTTTGTGCTTATGATCTGCTATTGATTTTCCATTTTCAGCTGTCTGTCTTCTCCCGGAATCACAGGCTACAGTCGCAGCGGTTGCCTCAGACTTCAATTTCATCTTGCTCAAGATTTCTTGTTCAATGCGTGTCGTCTACCTTTGATGGTTCGTCAAAAAAGGAGAACGACAGACAACCGAGTAATGTGCTTTCCACTGTTATTGACAAGGCTTCCGAACCGATCAGATCTTTCCCTTGGGCTAAAGCAAGTAATCTGTTCTTCAAGAGGCTGTTGGATCAGTTATGGATTGTTGGGAAATGGTTGGCGATTCCATTGCTGGCATTATCGGTGGTTAATGAGTTCACATACACATTGGTGCAAGAGAAAGTGCTCATCATTCCCGTTGCTATGATTTGCGGGATTGTTTTCTCAGGGATTACTAGGGAAGTTGTCCTCGAGCTGTCTCCGAGCATTGAGGTATTTTTCCTGCAACTTAAGATTACTCGAATATGTCCCGTACTTTTTTTCCACACGTAAGGTATGATCAAGTATGTTATGTGATTGAAATACATTACACTCTGTTGCTAATCCTGTTAGTTTATTGAATCACAATTGGGTAAAACAATCCTTCCTTTTCTTATACTGAAGCTAAAATTGACTTTCTTCCACCTTTTGTAGTTAAGTTAAAGAAGTGGCGAGCTGAGTCTGGAGAATTTTTAATACAACAACTAGCTTTCTATGTGCAGGGAAGACAGTTGCCGTGGCACCTGATAGCATTAGGCATACTTTTTGTAGTGCTCAAGTTAATTGGCCCAGTACTTCCTATTTGGGCCCAGGTCAGTGTTCCTCATTTCGCTAATGGTGGATTGTGGCAAGTGGCCAAACTTGTCAACGACTGGAGGAAACAGCACGCTGAAAGTGACCAGTAGAACTATTTCAGATGTTGTACTACTTCATGTGTACACCGGCTCTCTGTATGAAAGATCAGGTTTGATTGCAGTCATTTCTGATTTTTTTCGTGGAAATCATTCGCTTTCGGGTTTGCTTTACGAAGTGCTGATGTCATATTGCTACATACGTAATGATGGTCAGTGCATCCAGGCATCTGTCTCTGTTACGTAATCGATCGATTGCTACAGTTAGCTTCTGTGCACAAAGTGATCAGGATCGAGTGGAAACTTGTGCCCGCTTTAAGCTATCTTTACTTTGGCAATGTGCTGGTTAGGATTACAACGAGTTTGTGTTCGCAGCTTTAGATTTACGTTGCGTTAAGTGTTCGTTCGGGGCTTGGAGGTTAATTATACCGTTGGTGAGATTGTAAGTTTCACCGGACGAGTCTCTCGAAGTCCAAGATTTTGTGTCCATTAGCTACCGACATAAACTCCTGAACCCCCCACCCCTCTTGTCAACAACGTTTTACTTAATACCCGCGGTTCTGTAATTCGATGCCGAAAGTTCTCAAGAGCTGAGAGTTAATTTTGATTGCCAACCACTATTATCCTAACATTGTGAAATCACATCGAACTGAAGTCCCTGGTATGTTGTGTGTACAAACATCTACAAAACGTGGGCAGTGCGTTTGTATCAGGGTTTGACAGCACACTCACCTGTGTGGTAGCATGTCAAGATCTGCTCATACAATATCTGCGAATTACATGGGTTATCATACTATGGAGGTTTACTATGGTGAGAGAGTGGCGTCTGCTCTATTAGTTCATGAGGTTTATCACTCTTTCAATTCATCCAAATCTGGCACCATGGAAGGAATTGTGCTATAAAAGGCACGTGGAAGGATCTAGCTGGAAAATGAGAGAGAGAGAGAGAGGTTGAGAGTTGACAGGTGGTTGTACAGAGAATTTGACAACTTAAACGAAATCATTGCTTTGGAGGTTGGACTCCGAGTACTGTCAGGTAGAAGAATTACCATTGCAACCGCCCACAAAGACACCAGAGATGAGGACTTGGGGACCTGTTTGCTGACCTGTTATCCGTTATGCCGATGAATGTACACTCTCCATCACTTGAGCTTGGTGTTGTCAGGCGAATGAAAGCCGACTGAACCCTCATTGAAATCAAATTATTTGTTACCAAACAAGGACTGGGACTGGAGGATACTGAGAAACCACAGGTGCAGCTGATTGCGGAACAGGAATTCTCACACAGGTTAATGCTCATGTGTAGCATGAGCCTCCCTACTACCTACGCTGGGCGAATGAAGTGTAACTCGCAGTACTCGGACAGACGGCATCTTGGAAAACCAAGCTCCAAAAGTTGAGATCTTGCAGATCCCCTTAGAGAAAAAAGTAATAGTTAATAGAATGCAAAAGCTTGTCTTGATCTCTCTCCAATAACTCCATCACACCTGCAGTTGTGATGCAAGACCACCAATGCTGTTTTGTTAGGGCTCAGAAGAAGATTGATAACCCACCTTGTAATGGTCGAATCTTCCGAGTTTGGTGCACGTGGGGCTACTATGACCCGGCGGAGAATACCGCAAATGTATGTCGCTTGATGATGGTTCGGACTTTGAAAATGGTGCAAGCTTTGTAGCTGTGATTGAGCCCAACGACCAGCATGGTTTTAGGAATCATGCAACCTTGTCGAGGTGGCCGGACAAGGCTGGAGACAGAGATATTTTTGCTGAAAGCCTGTCATCAACTTGAAAGTTGCTTAGGAGACAAACTACGGGAGAAAGTTCAAATACAGAAAGCCTGACTGAAAATGTAACTTAGAGTTGTACCTAATTCAATTTTAAGTTTTTATTCCATTTCTTTTTGATGGTTTTGTAGGATTTTATTTTACGCTATGTATAATAACAGTGTTTTAAAGAATTGAAGGATTCATATCATTGTTAAGTTTAGAGTTTATGCTGTATTGAAAATTGGGTTGCAGTTGATATTATTGTTGGTGCCGAAAGGAGTGTGTTACAGGATCTCTTAAAGCAGCTTGTCGTTGATTCCCAGTTTCAAGAAAAAAGAAAAAGAAAAAGAGACGATACACGTGCTTAACAAACTGATTGTTTATTTACTTACTCTTATTCTAAAAAAAATTAGTTTTTATAGTTTCATTTAGAGCAAACACAGCACAGTTGCATGCTCAGTAATGTAAAGAAAATAAACTTAACTTTACTGCAAGGCATCATTGAAGCTAATGCAGAATGATACACTAAGTTCAGTATACTCCAAAAAACCTTACACCTCAGCCGCGAAAGGGAATATGCGGTAAACAATCCAATGTGCACAACAACGAATCCATGTCCAAACAGTGATCGGCCATTGAACTCCTCAGCAAGACAGACATGTACACACGCTCCTCTACAAACATGTATGAGGCTGGGTTCATATCCTTAGCTGCCGTGTGGAGGTGGCCCAGTGTCTATAACGAGTATTATTGAGGCAAGGGCTGGTATCACCCACTGATGCCCCTAAGAAGGGCCCTCCACACAAAGCGACCTCGACGCAAACGCACAGCGAGGGCGATGTCAGAGGCAATCAGGCTCTCGGGAGGGGCGCCCGCATCACCCACCCCACCCAAACCCCAATCAAAGGGGGCGCAACACTCCCTCTCAACTCATGCACCCACATCAACCACATCCGATCTCTCTCCGATCGCTGGAGAGTGTCTTCGAACAAATCTAACCTCAGGGGTTGGTCCTCGTGAAGCCCTGAAGCGGCGGATTCGTGGGGTGGTCCCACCGCAGTCCGACTCAATCTGTCGGCTTCGCCATCGCACTGATAAAACCAACGCAAAGAACCTCCCATGCTCCTTTCGGACCCAATCATGCATGCACGGTTTTAGGGTAATTCACGGTTACAGGGTATGTCGAGGGGAGCTTGCCGTGGTCATGGAGCTGGGTGGGTCCATCCCCATCGAGGATCCAATCTCACCATCTATCTATCCGAGGCATTTCATCTATTATTCATCTATGTTTCATTCATCCATCCAGCTCTAGCAGAGAAGGGGGCCATGAAGCCAGGCAGGCAGTGCAGGCCCAGCCAGCGATGGCCGTGTCCTTGCAGGTTGCAGTGGGCGGCATTGCGAGGTGCGTGGTGTCCGTCCCGCCCTTCGCAATCGCTCGCGAGATCGATCGGTCACCGCGGCACGGAATATCGGAACAACAACAACAATAGCAGCAGCACAAGAAAGTAAGAACGAAAGAAGAAGATGAAGAAGCAGAAGCAGAAGAAGTAGCTACTTTTCCTTCTCCTTCAGTGCGCCACTGTGCTTTCTTACAGCCTGCTCAGTCAATCCATGTAAGCGACACTGTAGCTGTCTCTTCTTTCACTTCATTATTGGTTTCTGGACCTTTTTGGTGTGTTAAGAGTGCGCGGGGGAAGGGTCACTCTATTTTACTTGTCATCATCAGAATTTCATCTTCTTCTTCTTCGTCTTCTGCAGCACGTTTGGGCTCTGTGAGTGTGCCAGAGAGGTGAGTTGTTCTCATCATCGCATTTTGGCCTCATTGAAGGGAGTTGCGCAGCTGTGTGTGTGTTGCTCTGGCAGTGTCAGATTCACGGAAGCTATGCGTGTCGAGGAGGGGCTGAGAGGGAGGGTTCTTGTTGTGATGGTGGACAGGTAGTAGTGGGTAGTTTTGGAGAGGCATGGTGGCGTGTAGGGAGCTGCTGAGTGGCGTGCCGGGAAGGGGCGTGCGAGGGAAGGGCAAGGAGGTGATGCGGAGTCGTCGATGGATGTGCGGATTGGGATGTGCGAATTGCGAAGAGGGAGACATATGATTGAGGGAGAGAGTTGGAAGAGTGAGGGTGGTGTAAGGTCGAGAGAGTCGAGGGGTTGCAGAAGAAGAAAACCGGGTCGAAATGGAGGAGGCGATAGTGCAGTTGCAATCGAAGGATACGAAGGAGAGAATGGCAGGTGTGGAGAGGCTTCAGATTGTGCTGGAGCAATCTCGAAAAAGCTTGACTGCCGCTGAGGTGTGCAGTCTCGTGGACGCGTCCATTCCATTGTTGAAGGACAATAACTTTAAGGTGGCCCAAGGGGCACTACAGGCATTTTCGTCCGCAGCTGCTCTTGCTGGGGATCATCTTAAGCTGCATTTTAACGCCTTATTGCCAGCCACTGTAGAGCGCTTGGGTGACGGCAAACAGCCCGTGCGCGATGCCGGACGACGCTTTCTGCTTGCGCTTATGGAGGTGGGGAATCGACATTCTTGAGTTCGAGCAGGAGTCATAGGATGTTTTCTTTACATTACTGTCTTGTGCAGTTCTAATGATGGATCGCGGGCGTAGTCAGAGATGGAGAGAAATATAGCACAATGCAAAGGGTCTAACCTCTTTTGGAATATTGGCATCCAGGTGGTTGTAGGTTGCTTAGATCGTATACATTTGTTGAATGTAGCTGCCACCAAGGAGTGAAGGTCTTAAAACCTTCAGAGGCATATCGCATTCATTGTTCTCGAAGAGAACGATTTGTGTTTGGATTTCAGTTTAGATATTTTAGGGTTATTGATTTTCTACAAATTAAAAATTAATATTCCAAGTCTCATTAGGTTTATTTTAAATTTATCATTTTTCTATTTCTACTCATGTCGCTAGAACAGCGATTGGCGAGGAATGGTGCTGGTTTGAAAGAGAGAGCGAGATGAATTACCTGCAGTAATCGTAACTTACCAGTCAGTCCCGAGGGGTGGATTCAGCGGCTTGCATAACACCCCCGTTCAGGAGGGACATTAGGCATGGCGGTAGTTTGAGTTGGGACCTTGGGTTGATCATGTGTCAGATTTCGTCACCAACCACCATTGTGGAAAGAGCTGGTGCGTATGCATGGAGTCATAGAAATTGGAGGGTACGGGAGGAATTTGCCCGCACAGCTGCTTCGGCATTGAATCTTTTCACTGCAGTGGAGCTGCCGTTTCAGAGACTCATCTTGCCTTCAGTAAGATCCTTGGACCAAAGAAAATGCAGCATTTTTTCTTTGTTCATCTCTTAACCCTCACGGTTGATACTTCTGCTCATTTAGATTTAGCTTTAAAACAATTCTGCCACTTATCGAGGGAAGAGGAAACAGAAGATCTGTTCAACAATAATGCGTTCACTCCAATGCGGTAGCGCACGGGTTACCGTTGTTTTGGTTACAAAGGACTGGCCGGTCAGTCATGCATATTTCCTGGTTGTTATTAGTTACTATGCATATTCAGGTAGTTGAGAATCCGCTTACGTAAGTTATTAAGCTAAAATTTCACTCAAACCTGGAAATTGCTGATCCGGCTGTCTGTTTTGATAGCCCATCCTCAAAATGTGGCCTGTAGCTGAGTTACTTGGTCGCTTGACTCACTCTCCTTTTTTCAATTAACGTCTGAAGTCGAAGGATTCATAAATAATTTTTTCGATTGGAATTGTTGTATTTTGCCTTAAGTCGTATTTTGCAAATTCATTGCAGGTGCTTAATTTGTTGGAAGACTCAAACAGCAGCGTAAGGGAGGCAGCTATGCTTTGTCTTGAAGTATGTTCTCATCTATGATACAGTTGTCCATGGTTGCTGCTTGTTTAATGTAGCGAGTTAATTAATAACTTGCTGAATTGTACTATTTATATTTGAATTTAGTCGCACAGTTCATTGAGTTGTGCCAATGAAATCCTTCACAGAGCTCCTGGTTTTCAACAATGATTTCTTCTTCGAAGCTTTCTTTGACTTCTCGAAATCCAGTGGTCCTGTTCTGTATTCAGTTCTTTCTGTCATTCTCTTTTTGACACATTAACCGGCCAGATAGGTTCCTTCGATCCAGTCTTGGAACTTGGTGTTTCTAGTTGGGATTGTTAGTAGCTTCTCTGTGCTTTGTCTGGTGATGATGATCTGTATTGGGCTGTTGAAGATTTGAAGCTGCATTATGGCCTCTGACTGGACATATGCAATACTCTGGTTATTCTTTGTGCGGCGCCACAGGAGATGTACCGGCAGGGCGGACAACAATTTGGAGACGAGCTTCAACGCCACCAATTAAGAGCGTCTCAGGTAATGGTTTGTTCCAACCTTTGTGATTACTTGTGACCAGCTAATATTAGTTTGAGGATATGAAGGGATTTATGTTGACTTTACCTGAGATCTTGCAAGTGCGCGGTTCATGGGGTGGAGAATGGACTAGAAAAGTACCTTCGTGTCGTTTTGAACCTTCTTGAAACATTGGAAGTTTTGTTATAAATTCTCGAGATCCTGAATTTATAGAATACTACAATTAATATGAGAGCAGAACTGTACTGGGAGGACCTGAGCCTGTTGATCATGATGGAGTTTTTTTAGTGTCGGAATCTCGGAGAGTTTGGCTGTGACTGGATACGTGGTGACTCCAGTCTTACATGATTTAGTAAGCCTGTTATACTTGCAATCTGACTCCCCAACCTGTTCATTGTTCGCAGCTTAAAGAAATTAACGCTAGGTTTGAGAAAATTGAACCTGTGAGGAACATGTTTGACAGTAAGTCATATTCGTCGACCGTTCCGTCTACAACTACTCCAAATCGATTCTCCACTGCTCCCAGCCAGCCCAAACCTGCTCCCCAGCAGGCTGTAACCAATCATTCGTGGCCTGCATCCGAGTTGAAAGTTCCGGTGTCAGGTGGAATTTCTAGGGGCAACAGTCCAAAGTCAAAACCTGCTCTGGAAGGTAAATTTTGTTTTCAACCTTGAGTTCTACTGAAATTTGGTCCCCCAATTCAAGAATATTCTCGTTTTCAGTGAATGCTAGTGTTTTATGTTTCTATGCTGATCCTCTACTAAGGAAGCCATTCTCGCAGCTGATGAGAAGCCAGCTGAGCCAATTAGAATTTACAATGAGCGGGATTTAGCAAAAGAGTTTGAGAAAGCTACAAGTATGCTTGCTCCAGCACAGGACTGGTCGATCAGGATGTCAGCCATGCAAAGGATTGAAGGAATAGTGGCAGGAGGTAAAGCGTTGATGTGGGTCTCACTTATTTGGTAGTCATTTTAGGATAATAGAGCGTAAATGGTTGTTCTTTTGGTTCTCTTTATGACCGTTTTTTAATTTTAATTTTTAGTATATATATATATATATATATATATATATTCACACACCTAGAAAACACCTAGAAAACAGGTTATGGCTTTGCTGCTGGGGACATTATTAAGTATGGTGTTATTGGCTTCTCTTTTCTAGGTGCAACGAAGTACAGCAGCTTTCCGCAGTTGTTGAAGCAACTTATCAGTCCTCTTTGTGATCAGCTAGCTGATCGTCGATCTAGCATTGTAAAACAGGTATTTTCCAAAATAGTTACAAACTATAAGACAATGTTGATGATTCTTGTGTTTCAGCACTCCAGTTGTGCACGAAATCAGAGTATTGCTTGATTAGAATGTAGTTGACCGGAGACGACATCGTAGAGGAAGATCACTTTGTAATCAAATTGTAACTAATTCGACTTAATGGCCATTACGTTCTTACAGGCATGTCAACTGTTGAAAGTGCTTACCAAGGAGCTCAAATCAGATTTTGAAGTCTTCGCGGAATCTTTTCTGCCAGTAAGTTACTGAAATCTGGGCATGGGTATTGGAGTATATCTATCGTGAGATATAAAATCTCAAACTTTCAGCATAAATTCTCTTTATTATGGAATAGTATGCTTTTGATTTAATCTTATCAAGGTCATGACCGAGGGTGTTAAAATGGCCCATGGCTCAGATGCTTTTCAAGCTGGTAGTTATAACAGTACTTGTGATTGCCGAGTCAGCAGACGCCTGCATCAAATCGGTCAGTCCTCAAAAACTCTTTTTGTTGGTTTTCTTCATTTCACTCTTGTCTTCCTGATTTTTACAGGCGAAGACCCGCTTTATTATTAAAAAGTAATTTCAAATTTGTTTGTTTTTTTAGTTGTTGATCCTGAAATATTGATTCCTTACAGATTGTGTGTTAGTTATTTTTTCAATACAATTTACCATACAGTTTGCGATGTGAAAAGTAAATGGTTAAGTGACGTATTCTCGGTTTGTCTATTCTTGCAACAGATGCTACAACATTGCAAAGTAGCCCGAGTTCTCCCCAAGATGGTTGAATTGGCGAAACATGATCGGAATGCAGTGCTGCGGGCTAGGTATTCCATTTCCTGAGTCATTTATTTGGTTAGAGCATTGGATTCTATAGCAGCAAAGCAGTAGTTGAGTTTCTCTAATTTTTTGGAAGGATTAGGATAAGTGTATATCTCAGAATTTGTCATGCCTTTGATCACTTTAGGTGCTTCCTATCTTATAGTGTGCTTGTATGGGCTTGAAGGTGCTGTGAGTACTTGCTGTTGGTGTTGGAACGATGGTTTGATTCACCAGAGATGCAACGTTCAGCCGAGCTATACGAGGATCTTATCAAATGCTGCTGCTCAGATGCAATGAGTGAGGTATAATTAGTCCTGCTCTGGGAATATCATAGTGGTTTGAATGTTGTAATATCAATGGTCAGATTCATGTCTTGCAGTATTAGGTTGTTAGTTTGGTATTAGTTTGTGAGATTAACCGATTGTCTTTTTAGATCACTTTTGTTTTCAAGTTATTGCTGAGATTCTTGAAATCACGAGATCAACTTTCTGGGATGAAATGACTTCTTACTGTCTCCAGAGGGTATGCTTTAGTGATACTTGAACACCGTCTAACTTGATTCTGTTGCAGGTACGCTCTTTATCTAGACAATGTTACCGCGTTTTTGCTAGGTGCTGGCCAGACCGGGCGCGCCGTCTCTATCAAGCTTTTGACCCTGTTACTCAAAGGGTGAGCTGCATGACACATGACCTGTCAAAATACTTTGTGGTTGAATGCGTGCATGTTCTTCTTTTTTGCTTTTTCTTATTGCATCTTGTAATTCGTAATCTTCATTTTGCAGGTTATAAATGACGAGGATGGTGGAATTCTAAAGAAGTATGGGCATTCAACTTCCCATAATACTCACCAGTTGCGCCAGTCCACTAGCTTACCAATTCTTGGAGCTGGGCACAGTACATCACCATCTGGACAGTCCAATTCTTCAGATGGACCGCACACTCCCTCAATGAATGGCTATAATACCAATCATACACTGAGACCAGCATCAAGTATGTCACAGCGGAAGTCATCTGAAAGTGCTCCTGAACGAAGTTTACAGAGTGTGTTACAAGCCAGTCAACAGCAAGTAAACGCAATAGAGACCATGCTAAAAGGAGTTGGTATTGATGATCTGAGACCATATTATTCAAACTCCCAAACTGCTGGTAAACGCTATAGCCATCTAAAAATATCTCTCTACTTACTTTGCAATTAAGTGCTTTTTGTTGGCAGTATGAAGCTGGAAATTTCCCCTATTTAGTGGTATGTTTGTGTTCGTTGCAGTTCAAAGTACTTTTTCGAAGAGTCACTCCACTGGTGCAACTTGGTCCTCACGTCCAGGCGTTGATCCTCCCTCCTCTAGGGATCCTCCTCATTTGGCGTCTGGTCCTGCGGCACATCATCAGACCAGTCTGTCAGCCTTTCGACCTGGTAGTGCGGGAAGAATACCAAGTGGGCATCAGGCATATGGTGATGTAGATGCTGGGAGATCAGCGGACTTTGCTGGCATAAGTAGAGAGGCTGAGCTTGCCGGTGACATGAGCCATGATTCTGCACGGGGCTCAGGGAGGTCACAGTCAGCAAAGCGAGTACCAACTAGCGTACCCAAGTACAGTTATCGTAGTTCAAACAGTGAATATGATGAGCCCAAACTAGCCAAACGCATTCCGAAGCCAGAAGTGCATATGGACAGAGCAGTGTCAGATCACAATTCAAATGCAGTACCTGCTTATCAGAGGCCCCTTCTTCGACAAACCGTGTTGGGAAGGTCGTCGGGAAGTAGCAGAATTAATTCAGAAGACAATGTTCCTACTGTTGTTATGAATACTTCTGGAGAGGTGTTCACTTACATGGATGGTTTGATGTCACTAAATGATGCTTTGACTGAAGGCTTGGCTCCAGGTTCAGAGTGGTCCGCTAGAGTTGCTGCATTCACGTTTATTAAAAAACTCATTCAACAAGGAAACAAGAGTCTTCAAGAAGTGAACCAGAGCTTTGAAAAGGTGATGAAGCTATTCTCTACACATCTGGACGACCCACACCATAAGGTGGCGCAGGCTGCTCTCTCCACACTTGTTGAGCTGGTGCCAGTGTGCCGGAAGTTATTTGAGACTTACTTGGAGAGGATTTTGCCACATGTATTTGCGCGACTTGTGGATGCAAAAGAGGTCATTCGACAATTGAGCACATCCGCTCTTGAGACTGTGGGAAACACTTACAGCATTGACGCACTTCTGCCTGCCTTACTTCGGTCTTTAGACGAGCAGCGGTCTCCTAAGGCAAAGATGGCAGTTATTGAGTTTGCAATAGCTGCATTTGCAAAGTTGGCCTTAAATGGTGAAGCATCAGGTGGGAGTGGGTTACTGAAGCTTTGGCTTGCAAAGTTAGCTCCCCTTGTTCACGATAAAAACGCCAAATTGAAAGAGACAGCTGTGACAGGTCTTATATCCGTGTACTCCCATTTTGATTCGTCCATAGTTCTTAACTTCATTCTTGGTTTATCGATTGAGGAGCAGAGTACTTTGCGACGGGCACTCAAGCACTATACTCCTCGAATTGAAGTGGATCTTATGATCTACATGCAGAACAGAAGCCAGCGGAATAAGGTGAAACCTGGCCATGAGCGACCCTCTGCCTCGTCACCCTTAACTGAGAAAGACGAAGATTATGTTGAGGAGGTGTTTCCTACTGGAGAGAGAAATCAGACTGTTGCTGGTTATTCACCCGTGGTTTTGGATAAATTGAATCGGAAGTGGGCTGCCACTGCTCAACCTGACACGATGACCTTAGCTTATCATGAAGGTGCAGCGCCATCAATGGCGGACCTGTCTGGACATTCGTATCCCACTTATACTTATGCTGGAGACTCATCTATTCCTTCTGCTGATAGAAATCCCAAAGATTTAGTTAGCAATGTAATCAGCAAAGAGGCATCTACTGATGTAATCAGCAGTACAGAAATTACTACTTCTTGGTTTAACCAAACCCAAGAACATCAGTCCCAGGGGTCGGATACTAGGCATAATGCTTTACCCTTAGTTGACTCTGAGGGTAGTAACAACTTGAATTTAGGGTTTAGTATGGCGGCCAATTCTGGAAATCCACACTTCATTGACTCAGCCAGTACGCACAGCAAAATTGAAAATAATTTTTATCACCAGAGGATGAATGCAAACCCTCTGGTTTTAGGACTAGAAACCTCTACTGGTGTTCTCCAGGTGAGCTAATTTGTGACTTGATGTTAAAATACCTGGTTTTCAACTGTTCGTAGCAATTGGTTCCTGTAGGCGTTCATGTTCTGAGATACTTTTACCTACTTTCTTTTCTGAAGCGAGGGCCTTACTTATTTGTTATAATACAGGCTGTATAGAGGATTACATGTCATGTTCCTGCTTCAAAAAATTAAAATCTAAACTTACACGGTGGTTCTGCTTTGGTTGTCATGTAGATGTCTAGCTGGGATAGTGGGAAAACGATGGGAGTTCGACAAAAAGTGCTTCAGCAACTGACGGAGTTTTCTGACGCCAACGATTCAAATACTTGGTCAAAGGTGTGTCAACACTGGTGCAGTACTGAGCAATGTGGGATGGCATGATAATTTGCAGTTTCTGTGGTTTTTCAGTCTGTGCTGGTAAAATCACTAGGTCTTGGCATTACATGTTCTGGAAAGCGAGAAATGTTCTTGTATGGAGGAAATTCGGTTTCTTATGAGAGCTGGTATTCACTTGCTCGTAATTAATGGGTTTCTCTGCATTTGTGTGCGGGAGACAAGCTGCGGAACATTGCATAGTGTTGGGTATCTGATTAATTGATCTTAACGTGGTCCTTTGGCAGCCTTTTGCTGTCATCTCATCTTTTATATCTTTCTAACAAGATTGGTTTGTGTACAGTACTATAATCAGTTTATTACATTGGTATTCGAGGCTCTCGATGATCCAGAATCAACTATTAGGGAGCAGGCAGCGTCTGTCTTGCTTCAGATGCTTAAGAATCAGGTTTCTGTTAAAATCCCTTCTTATTTGTTGACGTGCTAAGCTCAGTTAATGCATTTCAAGCCGCTACCCTCATCATCTCAATAGATTTTAGCGTTCAAGCTTGAGAATTATTATCGCATATTCCAATCAAAGTTCCAGGTGTGTTTTTTTGTAAATTGGTTTCTTGGTTATTTATGCTCATGTCTGTTGCAGAATTCTGACAACTACCACTGCAGTCTGATCTGATGCTACCCTCTTTCCTTCCTGCAGAAAGATAGGTTAAACAAGGACACAGAGATTTTGCTAGAAAAGCTTTTACAATCAGCCAGAGACACTGACGCGAAGGTAAGTGGACTGGATTCTCACAATTGTTATCCTGGCTCATCCTGTCTAGAAATATGGTGATTGGTTATATGTAGGCGGAGTCTTCTTTGTAGTCATCTCGGATTTGGGATTGACTGCGAATATTTTTTTTTTTGTGCACCACATGCCACAACATATGGATCATGAGAGACGTATCTTGAATATGATGCTTGAAGATAATACTATGTTTGTGATGGATGTTGAGTTCTGAGATTTGAAGTTTTAATACGTCTACTTATCAGAACAACGGCGATTCTATATTTGATAGTTTTAGAGAAAGACGTAATTAAATGTACATGGAATGCAGGTCAGTGCTGCGGCTGATCTTTGCTTGAATGCTGTTTTGATGGAACTGGATACTTATCGTTGCCTTTCGGTACGTATTATTGCCAAATGCTTTTGTACCGCTTTCGGTACGTATTATTGCCAATTACTACTTAATGTGTCAGCAGCTTAACTTATCAACTGCAGCAGTTTTTGTTTTATTCTTCATGTGTAGATAAACTCCAACTCATTGGTTAATCAATAATCAAGTTTTGCATCTATGGACAAGCATCATACATCTATGTGGTTTTATCCTTGTATTGCACCAGTGTAATGACCATCGGAAGATCCTGGATTATGTTGCAGGTGGTTGTACCGCTTTTGGAGTCTGAAAATGAAAAGACTTTGGTTACTTGCATTAGCTGCCTGACCAAAGTATGTTACTTATTGCCCATTATACCTTGCCTTGTAGTTACTATTTCTTGTAGTCGTCAAGTCCAGCCTCGAGTAGATTAGGAATTCAAAATGCTGAAGTTTCGTTTTGGTCATATACGCATGAGTTTTTGCTATTAGAGAACGAAATAGACTCTCTCAATTTTGCTTCGATTAGAGATCTACATAATGTCGTTCAATATTGATGTCATGGGTTTTGGTTGTGCTGTATTGTGTCTGCAACGTTCTTCTCATACCAGTCTATCTGCCCTGACAGCTTGTAAGCAGACTTCCTCCTGAGGAACTGACATCCCAGCTGAATTCTTTCTTGCCTATGCTGTTTGATGCCTTTGGGAACCAGGATGCTGATGTACGAAAGGTACGGAATACATTCCTCAACCTCCTATGTTAAGTGTAAATACATGGAAGCCAATTTACAAAAATGCTTATGCCATCATGTGGCACTGGTACTTTGGCCCCACTTGATGAGTTATCTGGCACGGGGGTTTGCATGGAGTTAATAGCTTGGGTAGCCTGTTATTTGTACTCGAAGGTTATTAATAAATGATCCTTTGTGGGTTTTGCAGACTGTGGTTTTCTGTTTGGTGGAGATATACATTGTTTTGGGCAAAGCATTCGTTCCATACCTCGGAAGTCTTAGCAGCACACAACTACGATTAGTCACCCTCTATGCGAATCGCATATCCCAGGTTTATCATCTACTCATTTTGTTAATACCTGATGCCTTATTATATCTTCTTTGCCTTGTGTTATTCGTCATTGAAGCTGTTTCTTTGTGGTCTCAAAATATATGGCGGTGTGTGGTACTATCATTATCTTGCTTATGCATAAATCACGAATCCCTCTATTTGTTATTCTTATCAATGTATTTGAGTTTCTACTAAATTAAATTGGTGTGAACCAGGCAAGAATGGGATCAGCCTCGCAATCAACACTGCAGCCCTAATTTGACTTCACACAATGTTCTTATGCGTCAAGATGGAAAATTCATATTGGGAAGTCCAAACTGCACAATTAGTTATTTGAAATGATGCTTACTTTACGTGGGAATATGCACATTACCTTTCGCCTTGTTGAAGAAGCATCTTTGCCCTTATGTATCAAGCTGAAGCCGACCTGCGCCTGTACTTTCTATTTTCGGACTTTCTTAATTTTCACGACATTGTTAAGTATTTACTGAAGCTCTGGTTGCGAAGTCGGGCTATCGACATTAATCCAGTGTCTAATTTCTAAAGCTCGCAGATCGGCCTACACGATAGAGTATCCTGACTTATTGTAAACATCCACATAAATGGAACTGGTTACTGGATCTTTTACTCAATTTGTGACCCCTGCATTTCTCATTAAGGTCGGTGATTCTATGTATTCTACGAAGGATTCAAGAGCTCTTGGACGAACAGAATAGAATCTATCTCTGGCATAATGTGGGGTCTTTTGTAGATGGGAAGTAAAAAACTTTACACGGACTAGACTAGAGGTGATGTGCGCAACCCCGTGACACGAAGTCGAGTGTAGTGCTTTAGAGCTGGAACTGAGAAGTCAGGATTTGTAAACATGAATGTACACGTCACAAATAATAGAAACATTGATTGTCAGTTCCTTTAAAGAACTCCATGGCTTGTTCATATCAAATTGTTAACTTGGTGATGTTTAAGATAAACTTGGAATGCTGGCTTTTTTGTGCAAGTCTTTGAACTGTGCAATTATCTATGTATGTAGCACACTTGCATGTGTATGTGTTGTAAAATCCTACTTTGATGAAGTAATCCTTTGCAAATGTTACACAACACATATTTGTTTTTAAAAATTGATTGTTAAGAACCACTTAATCACCTGAGAATATTTGTTTTGTCAAGTTTAATTTTTAATTGAGCAACTTGGTGGACTTTCCATTAGCAACATCAGACTCAAGCTACATGTACACCTTAAATTGTCATATGCACATCCATTATGTGCATATTCACACCTAAGGCCTTTAATTGACTACTTTGCTTACCTCCTCCAAATGGATTTGGAGATGACTTCCTTCCCCTCTTTCTTGTCCTTGCATGAGTCCTTGACTTTCTTCTCCTCTTTCTAGTCCCAATGCAAATCCCACTTCTGGCACAAGTCCCCAAGTTTCTTATCCTTTTTCTTGTCTCAGCATGGATCCCACTCCCAACATGAGTCCTAGACTTCTTCTCCCTCTTCCTTGTCAATTGCAGGTCAAATTAGCAAATTAGCCAATCAGAGGCCTCTATTTTTTTCAGTGTCTATATAGCAATTTGGGATGCACATGTAGCAAATTGGAGTATGTATGTAGGAACTTGGATGTGTGTATACCATGAGCCTTCCATAATCATGCACTGCAATATACATGTATTATGAGTTAGATGATAATTTGATATATATTTATATTATCAATGAAGGGGTTTGATAATTTAAACTTATCAAAGATAGTATTTTGTACATTAGAATATTTAATCAAAAAAATTATTGTTTTGTTGCTTTTTTAATTTTAACTATCAAAGGAAATATCAATCATGTTCAAACTTTTTTAAGCAAAATTGAATATAATCAAAATAATACCACGAGCTATTTTTCATTCAAAACAAATAAATACCTTTGTGTTTTGATAGTGCAATCTAATAATAACATGTAATATTTTTTGCTATAAAATTTTAATATTAAAAATAATTTAATTCTTTAAGTGTTTCTTTTCACATATCAATATTAGAATTTTTTTAAAAGAAAAAAACATATTTTACATATATATATGTATATATATATATATATATATATATGCAACTGTATGCAATTGTTGGTATGAGTTATTGTTAACAAGATAATACTTTTTAAAATTATAAATATATGTACATATTTAATTTATTATTGATCTTTTTTAAATGTTTAATAAAATGTTCAATTCAATTTTAATAACATAGTATTGAGTTGTTTAATTGAGTTTGTTTCCAAGTTATATGTATGGCAATACATAGCATTTGTATTATTATTAGTAAAAGAGTGCAATATTTCTAAAAATAATATTTTTATCAATTCAAAATTATTTACAATGATAAGAAAATATATTGTGTACAACTTTTTTCTAAATGCACCTCATAGATTCCAACTTTGCAATGCTAGAGTGCATATAACTGACTGGCTTTAAATTTCAATGAGGGATTTCCAAAATTTAATGTTGATGCTTCAAATGAGTGTTTGAAATTAGAAAAGACTTCAACCATAGAGAAATAAAGTGGTTTTTTTATAACTTTGTATTAGATAAATATATTTGTAGAAGCCTATTTCTGAGGATATACAAAAAAAAAGTCTATGAAAACCACATCCATAGGTTCCCAAATATACTTGTTTATCTGAATTGCTTGCATTAAACATGAAAATTTGACGTAAGTCTTTGCAAAGGCAATTTATAACAAAGATAGAAAATACAACAGAACAGCAGAAATTGCCAAAAACCAAATTTTATGGATTTGAAATCCATCTTTCTATTTGTCACGTGCCAAAAGCAACATCGATGTCTGCGGTAGATCACCTCTTGTGGTTGATTTCTTGGAAGAAAAAAGTGACAAAATGAATATGATGTACAAATTTAGAAATTATTTCCTTATTGACGGTAACTGTCACACGTTCTATCACACATGACCTTATTTCGTTTCGCATGTTTAGCAGTTTTGAGGTGAAATAAGTTAATACATTAAGTTAATACATCTTGAGCAAGAAAGTACATAAAACAAGCTTTTGGAGATCCACAAAAGCATGTGAAGAAGTTTTGCGAGCACTTGAATCTAGAAACAGTTACATACATTATGATGTACAACATTGATTTGCACAATCTAGTAATCTAGGATTAGGAAGACATGGTTTTAAAACATTGGTAGACATGTGAAGTTTAGTAGTAGGAATAGAAGTTCATTACATGAGAAACAAAACAAGACTCCCTCCATACTCCAGTGCTCACGAATAAGCTTCCCACAATTTTACTCCCAATTGGTGGCAGAACCCGCGGAACAACCTCTAGAGCACAATTCAGATGCAAAAAATCCATGAGTGAAACTATACAACCCCTATGAACCTAAATTCATCATAGAAGTTGCCAACTGTAATTGCACTACTACGTTCAGCCCAAACTACAGCTCTAGCTTCCAGTCCAAAGCAAATGTTGGAATATGATGTTTTCAAATTTATCATTCAAATTTATCATTCAAATTGCGGAACAAATTCATACACACGGTGGATTACTCCAAAAGCTAACACGCAGAAGATTTACTGCAAAGTTGCACAAGATCAGGCAGTGCACACTGCTCTAGCACTGATCGCAAGCAATCAGCCTGCTACGGTGAAACGACTCTCTCTCCATGAAACCCACATCCACATTGCCAGCATTCACTCTATACAACCATAAATTGCTGAAAGAGTTGAGAGCAAAATCATGAAACTCGAAAACAGAGATGAATTCCGAGGAATCGCATTTTTAAACTAACTAAATGCCACAAAACACGTATTCATGTGACTGCTTTAAATCTGAACATGCAAGCCTGTCAGATATTAGTTATTAATGAAATCACAGTCGCGACACTGTCCATCAAAACCAAGGTTTTTCGACAAATTAAGCTCAATTTCACCGAATAGACATCATCAAACCACCGTCACTGACGAATAGACAGCAACGCAGCTTCCTGTCACAAGCTTACGAGAAACAGCTTAACTCGCTCAGTGCACCTTTAAATTTCAATGTGACCAGATAGAGTAATCTAGATCACATTGTGCGGAAAAAAACCTAGTCTCAAATGAAACCTGCATGCATTTTCTTTCCTACATTGGATACAAAATCTAAACTAGGAGAAAATTGGACATAAAAAGAGTGTAAAAGAGGAACATCGACCTGGTATTATCTAAGCACTCTCGCCCCTCTTCTTAGCAAAGTAAGCTTCGGCACGAGCTTGGTTCTTCGAATACTGAACAGAGACCCATTTCTTCTTCTTCGGCAAAATTTCGAATTCGCATCCAAGGGTCTCCAATTTCTCCCTCGCGGCAGCGGAAACGGCCCCGGCCTTGATCTTTACCTTAAAGTCAAGCTCCCCATCGCCAAGAATCTTCAGCGGCAGCTTCCGGTCCCGGCCCGAGGGGTTCAAGACGCGCCTCTCCTTCAGAGCTTCGAGGGACACCTCCTCGCCCTCTTGAAATGTAGTAGCAATGTCGGTCAAATTCACAGCTACGTAATTCGGCAAACCGGCGCCCATGCCACCAGCGATTCCCCTCAACTTCGGCAACCTCCGGTACAAAGGCATCTGACCTCCTTCGAATCCGGGCCGCACTCCAGACCCGGACCTCGACTTCTGCCCACGCATACCGAACCCACAACTAGCGCCCTGCCCTGCGGCGATACCACGCCCTTTCCTCTTCTGCCGGTGCCGAGACCCAGGCTGCGGCGACAAATTGTTCAACCGAAACCGTTGGTCCACCTCACTCTCATCTCGCTCAACCTTCGCCGCTTTCCTGCCGTTCGCCACAATCGCCAGCCCGCTCCTGGAAGATTTCACCACGCTCACGCGACCTGAAGCAACGCGCAGCGACACAGTTCCCCTGAGAAACGAGCTGCCCAATGCATGGCTACTGCTGCTACTGCTGCTGGGAGGGGGTTTCTGCAACGAGAACGCCGTGTTGCTGGTTGTAGTGGTGGTGGTGGAGAAGGCGAGAGTGGCCATGGCCGACGTCGAAGCTCCAGACTCCGCAAACCTCAACACAAACGCACACAATTTCACAAACTCACACACTTGTTCGTGCTTCAGCTGCTCCCGTCACGGTTACCGGATCGGTTTCCTTTGGCCGCAGATGGGGTCCGTGTGGATAAGAGTAAGCTGGGGCCTGGGTCCTGGGCCCCAAACCCGGGTCCCAGTGTTTCAGAAAATTTCAGTCATCTCGGAATCTGTGATTTTGTAATATGAAAAGCCAGAAAAACCTCTATTCATGTATAACAATGCAAGCACTTCACACACGTGTGATTATAACCCAAGTAAAAGTATGTGTGTGTGAACTCGGGCTATATTTATATAAACTAGAATCTTTAAAAAGTATCTAAAAATTAAACATAATATCATTAAAATTTGTGATTATTCTAATTTTAAATATGTTTTATGTATTTAAGATGTGCTGTTTTAATAAAAACAAAACATTCTTTTCCTACCATTTAAAAAAAAAATGTAATTAATAATATGAAAATATCTATATAAAACATGTTTAATTTTTTTTTATTAATAATGTGTTTAAAATAAATCAATTCTCAAAGAATAAAAGATTGTAATTTTAAAATGATCAAATAAAATAAATACACACACACACACACACACACATATATATATATATATATATATATATATATATAATACTAAAATATTTGTTCTAATTTTCTTAGGAGAATATTACAATATCTTAAAATTTAAATTTGATTAATGGATCTACTAAAATAATAATAAAAAAAAATATAAGGATTATTTAATTATTTAATGATACATAATAATTTCAAGCACAAGTACATACTAAAAAATAAAGTAAATAACTTGGAAATATATATATATATATATATATATATATATATATAAATAAAGTAAATAACTTAGAAATATATATATATATATATATATATATATATATATATGAATATAAAAGCTTCAAGTTTTAGGTGTCATAGTTATTGACTTTTTATATTTTCATAATAATTTTTTAAATCTTAATTTATAACTAATCATTTTTATTTCTTTTTCTTAATATCATTATGAATTAAAGTTGCATATCTTTAACTTTTAAATGAATTTGATTTCTTTGCATTGAGATAAGTATACCACTACTTCTACTACATTTTACTGATTTATATCCTTTAATTGTAATGTTTAGATCAATATATGTTTAGACAAACATAGCTTACTTTTCATGTTATTTTTTATTTTTGATTTTTTATTTTTTTTACATCAATAGAGCTATTGTTACTACTCTATTATTAAATAACATAACATAACATAACATAACATAAATTTTATTGAGGTCTTTTATGGTAAATAAACTTTTAATAACATAAAATTGATAGGATAATAACTTGATTGATTTTTTTTTTTTTATTTTCTTGGAAATTATATGCATAGATATTATGTTATTACTTAATACATTTAATTATGTTGGTTTTCATTTTCTTTTTTTCTTTTTTAAGTTTTTTATCAAATTTTTTGTGATATTTTTAAATATGCTTTTAATAAATATAGAATATGTAATATTAATAAAATAAAATACTATTCTCAAATCTAAGCTTTTAACTACAAAAAAGATTACACTATAATAACTTAATAATAATAATCATAATCATAATAAGTATTTTAAAATATCTATACTATTCGATAATCATATTCTAAAATATCAAAGATGTTTTATTACTTTTGAAGAGCTTTCAATATATATTTTGAAGACAATTGTAAATCAACTATTATATGTATAGCTATTTTAATTAAGTATTAATTATTATTAAATAAATAAAGAAGAAGATAAGTTATGTTTTTATTATGTTATTTAATTTTATTAATATATTATTTTAAAATTATCAAATTTAAATTTATATTTTAAAAAAATACTACTTTTTATCATATACAATGTTATAAATATATAAATTAAAAATATATATACTTCTATAAAATTTCTAAATAGAAAAAATCTACAAAGATTATATAATAAATTAGTTCATTGATTATTTAAAAATATTCTATCTGTATCTTCAACAAAAATTTAAAAATATACTTTCATTTCTAAAATTAGACTTAATTAATTATTTTTAGATTATATCTTTTTTAAAAAGATATTTTTAAATTTTAAAATAATAGCATACATTGACAATATTATGTTATAATTTGATATTATTGCCTACAAATTGGCATTTTGCAATCTAGGATGTTTGTTCTTTTTTAGTTCATTTGGCATAAGAAGCTCTCCCAAAATATTAAAACTAACATTATTATATATTTTCCATCTCTTCTAATTATAATTGCACATTGCATATGACATTAGTACCAAAAATTATTGATATCTAAAATGATACATTTGGATCAAAAGTATAAAGAGCATTTGATAGATAGAGAATCTATTGTGCTAACTTTTCTTCTTCATGCAACTCCTCCTATGTTTATTTATTTGTGCCATGATATAACTATAGAAGTCACATAATAATTTTCAATAATTCTAAAACATATGCGCAATAAGCATAGTGATGCAAGCTCATATAAGAAGCAATTATATTAATTATAATTGATAAATAAATAGTATGAGCTAGACTATACAACATCTTTTTCATCCATATTTTCTCTTAATAATGTAATAAACAATGTCATAATTATTTTTGATAGCTTTCTTATCAATATCAAATCTATCAATTCTAATTCAATTCATGCTAAATTATAACAATTTTTGTTTTGCCAATAGAAGAGCATACCAAAATTACATAATTTATGCTCTTCTATTGGCAAAACAATTTAATAGTTTTATGTAAAGTATGGTTGTATTAGTCCATTAATTTTTTGGCTTAACATGGTTTGTGAAGTGGTGAAAGATATTATTAGAGTCTTAAATATTATTGTGAAGAAAATAGAAAGCATGATCAAAGAAAGAAAAAAAAATGTCTTTTGTGAAGATTTTGAAGGATTAAGAACTTAGAATGTTTATTAATAATATGAGGAGAAAATATGGTGCTAAAATAGTTATGTAGTTGATTTGTAACTAAGGACATATTGTAAGATTTTTGTACATGGATTGCATAAACTCAGGGGTAGAGAAGCATGTATAGAAGAAATGTGTAGAAGATTGTGATATTGTACATAGGAATTGATGGAGGTATTGGAAATGTTCTATAATTTAATTTATTGTTACTCATGATGAAGTGGAAGACAATGATAAATATCTACATGAGATATTGTTTTTTGTAAGTCAAGAGCATTTTTTAAATTATGAATTAGTAAGGCATCTATTGCAAAGATTGAAAGACTTACATTACATGGAGGTTGAAGAATCAGATGCTTTAAAACTATCATCAAATATAAAAAGTCTTGAAATCATGGATTATAGAAATAAAAGATTTCTTGGAATGATTTATGAATCAAAGTAGTTGGGACTTGTATGTGCAACTAAAAAGATAGATGTTAGGCATGTTAAGTTATTTATTAAAAAATTAAGTATTATAGAAAGTCTAATCTATTCCAATTTTAACAAGTATTTTTTTTCAATGAAAGCTAATACAAATAAAAGTACAAAAATTGTATACCAAAACAAAAAAAAATAAAAAAATAAAACAAAAAAATAAAAAATGTACTTAGAAATGATATTGTGTATTAAATTGCAAGAAAGATGTGTTACTTGAATAACATGTACATTGTACATTATAATTTGCAGCTTAACTACATTTTTTTTAATGTGGAGGAAAAGAAAATCACAAATGAAATTGTTCTACAAATTATAAAAGTAATTGATTTTAGAATGTCTAAGATTGAGGTTCGAAGCAATTTAAAAGCTACTAAGAATAAGTGTATATATAGTAGTGCAAAATACATGGCTATTGAGACTCTAAAGAATAAAATTAAAACAATGACAATGTGTCCTTTTATAGGAATTGTTTATTTATTTGCAATGGTATGTTGTAAAATTATCTCTATAAAAGATCTATTTGATGATGTTAATAAGATAAAAGAGATACTAGAAAGAATAGAAAATGGTAAATGACCAAATGTCACGGCCATAATCATGTAAGCTAATAATTACATATAGAAATAGGTAGAAGTAAGTAAAAGTAGATAAAAGTAAGTTAATTCTATAATATTTAATATAGAAGCTTCCTAGAAACTTCTTAGACGCTGCTTTGACTTCATAGGTGTCTTTAATTGACTTTTTGGATTAGAAACGTGGTCAACAAGTTGGCCATGTGCCACACATGTTGTTAGCTTGAAGATCAAGCTAACTATGTGGCCCACATGTAGAAAAACTTGCCTTGTAAGTCAAGGCATGTGTCCTACAAAGTCAACACATATTGGAGGTCCTATAGAACGTCGCCACGTAGCCCCTAGTTAGATAGTATATATAGAGACAAGAGTGAAGGCTTCTTCACTCTTGTCAACTCCTTTCTTGCTTCTAGTCCAGGTTCAAGAGTCTTTAGTTTCTTGTCTTGTAGCAATAGCCATTCCAGTTTCCTTTTAATATACCTACTTGTTTATATTTTGACTTATTATATCGAGATAGCCTTTTTGTGTATATTTTCTCTCATCGAGTCTTTGTCCTTGACAGATTGACAAGAGTACACTTACAATATCAGAGCTTTGTTTTTCTTGAGTGAGAGTGGATTACCCCTTTCTCTTGACAAGACATAAGCGTATTAGAATTTTGCGGATTACCCACTTCTAAACTGATATTGTTCTTAGTATTTTCTTTGTTATCAAGTCTTTCTTTTCTTTTGTCTTGAGCAGTATCAAACAAATTTTTCTTAGTGTCATTATGGCAGAGCTTGTTGAAATGAAGAGTGCAATGGCACAAATGCAAGAGCAAATGAGGGAGTTAATGCTTGCGATGCATCAACTCAATTCACCAACACATGAAAGAACAAGAATAGCAGAAAGTGGGGATATAGAGATGATCGGAGCTGCTTCAACATCTACAACAAATCACGTTCCTTCTCCAATTGTACAACACCCTGTAAGCACTAGAGAACCAAGAATTGCCTTACCCGAGAAATTTGATGGTACGAGATCTAAGTTT